GCAGCGTTTCAAGCGAATTTCTAAAATAATTCCATAAGAGCTTCGTGAGAATACAAAGCAGATGCTCGAGAGCACTACAAGTAAATATCCATTAGAAATGTCCGTTGAATATGAAATGGACTATTCTGAGGTCTTCAGAACTAAAGAGTTGAAAGTTTCCTGAAGTTAATGAAACTGCCTTGAACTTCTTTTATAGTTTGATAAACAAGCCTGATGCTCACAATACTTCTCATACAAATTTTTAAATTCCCTGAACGTTTTCGGACTTCCCAAAGTTTCATCAAAACGATCATGGATCTTCTCTAAAGTTTTAACAATTCGCTGAAGCTCTCGAAACTTCGAAAAACATTTATGAAATTTCTCTAATGTCAACAGAACTGCTCTGAGGATCTCAAAACTTCTCTAAAGCTCTCATGGAGTTATTGTACTGCTTGGAATTCAATTACACTGTCCTAAAATGTTTTAAACTTCCGTGAACTTCTGAACTTCTGTGATGACCTCAACTATTTTCTAAACATCTCTGAAGTTCTCTGAAAATCGATTTCTTAAAATTTCCCACCAATTTTCAGAAACTAAGGTAACTGAACTCCCCCTATTTTATGAGCGTACTAAACTTCTTTGCAACGCTTCCGCAATTTGCAAATGTTCATGAAAGTTTCTGAAGTTCTATGATCTTCCCTTAAGTTCCATAGCCTACTATGATGTGCTCGAAATGTTTCTGAATGTCTCTGCACTTCTGTGAAGTTTTCGAAGTTTTCTGAAATTGAACTTCTTTAAGCTCCCGCAATTTTTTTGGAATCAAATGAAAATAATTCATATAGTTCTATGGTTTTCAAATTTTTCTGAAGTTCAACACTAATTCGTAGCTCCTTCAATAGTCAACTTTTGCTAATGTTATTAAACTGCCCAAAAGACTTATGAAATTCCTATCAGTTGTCTAGACGGCCCTGATTTTCTCAGTATTCATAGAATAAGAACCCAAAATTTAACTGAAATAAATAGAATTTTCTTGAAGTTTCCACAATTTACAAACAATTTTATAATCGCTCACGGAACTTTACCTTAAATCGATAATTTTCCCTGAACTTATCTAGACATCCCTTAAGTATTCGATGCTTACCTGAAGATCTCTAAATTTGTTTAATGTTCTCGGTTGTGCAATATTTAATGTATATTTAGCATTCAACAGAGGCCAAAGGGGTCACTAGGTTAAATAGGGTCATTACTAAGACTGCACTATATTTCCTGGGACAAATTATGTTTAAACTACTTTGAAAATTTACTCACGAATGAATATTCTCAAGCATGTCCCTTGGAATCATAGAGTTTGTTTCAGAATTCTTCTAAAATGAAATTTATTTTTTAATTTTTTGTGGAATTTTACAGCTTTTTCCTAAATACAATGATGTTTCCTTGAATATTTGGGCTACAAAATGGTGAGTTGACAACCTGGAAGGAGCGGAATACCTAGCTCTGGTCCTCACAAGTTCCTATTTCACGCCTCCCCGAGTAATATGATAACAAAAGACTACCAGCTGAAACATGGACACAGCTAGGTGGCGTAGCCTGGGCAATGTTGCCAGTCCGGCAATAGCAAAGTGAAGATGTGCGACGGGAGCACTGCCGCGATAACCATAGTACGGTGATAGAGGAAATACTTCACCAAACCCGAGCGTCAGTTCACCATGGAGGTGCGGCTCAAAACGACTGATCACCGTCCTAGTTCCAACGTGGGACTCTGAACAGAACTGTGCACGATGGTCCCCCGGCGAGATAGGGAGTTGGGGCAGGCCCAACATACCGCCCTGGAAAAAACATAATGTTGCAAATACTGAAGAAAGAAATACGGATCGGAACAATTGGCACAGACCGACGTGACGAAATAAGGACTACGACTGGAAACTCGGAACATGAAACTGCAAATCGCTCGGCTTCCCGGGCTGCGATAGGTTAATCTATGACGAACTTCAACCACGGAACTTCGAAGTCGTAGCACTGCAGGTACTTTGCTGGACGAGACAAAAGGTATGGAGAAGCGGTCATCGAGCAGCTACTTTCTACCAGAGCTGTGGCATCACCAACGAGCTGGGAACCGGCTTTGTAGTGCTGGGTAAGATGCGCCAACGTGTGGCAGCCGATCAACGCGAGGATGTGCAAGTTGAGGATTAAGGGCCGTTTCTTCAACTACAGCATCATCAACGTGCATTACCCACACGAAGGGAGACCCGACGACGAGAAAGAAGCGTTCTATGCGCAGCTGGAGCAGGTGTTCGCAACAGGACGTCAAAATCGTCATCGGCGACATGAACGCTCAGGTAGGAAGGGAGGCAATGTATAGACCGGCAATCGGGCCAAACAGCCTGCATGCCGTATCGAACGACAACGGACAACGATGCGTGAACTTTGCAGCCTCTCGGGGTATGGTAGTTCGAAGTACCTTTTTCCCCCGCAAGGATATCCACAAAGCAACCTGGAGATCACTGGACCAACACACAGAAAACCAAATTGATCACGTTCTAATTGACGGGAAATTCTTATCCGACATTATCATCCTCAGCACGTACCGCTGTGCGAACATAGATTCGGACCACTACCTAGTTGCAGTATGCATGCGCTCTAAACTCTCGACGGTTCATAACACACGTCGAAGTCGAACGCCGCGACCCAACATTGAGCAACTACGGGACGCCGGAGGTGCCCAGGATTGTGCGCAGCAGCTGGAAGTTGCACTACCCACGGAAGAACAGCTTGGCGCAGCTTATCTTGAAGATGGCTGGAGGGACATCCGTTCAGCCATAGGTAGTACTGCTGCAGCGGCACTATGTACTGCAATCCCGGATCGAAGACATGACTGGTTTGACGGCGAATGCAAACTGCTAGTAAAGAAGAAGAATGCAGCACGGGCGAGAATGCTGCAACACCGCACGAGATTGAATGTGGAGCGATACAGACAAGCGCGGAACAGACAAAACTTGGTTTTCCGAAGAAGCGTCAGCAGGAAGACCGAGATCGCGAGACGATGGAAAATCTGTACCGCGTAAACGACACACGGAAGTTCTATGAGAAGCTAAATAGTTCGCGCAAAGGCTACGTGCCGCAAGCTGATATGTGCAAGGACTTGGACGGTAACCTTCTGATGAACGAGTGTGAGGTGATTGAGAGGTGGAAGCAGTACCGAGCACCTCAACGGTGAAGCAGCAGAAAACGAAGGTGGCACGGCAACAGACCTTGGAGCACGCGCAGAAGACGACAGGCTACCGGTCCCTGATCTTTAAGAAATTAAGGAGGAGATCGGTCGGCTGAAGAACAACAAAGCAACTGGTGTAGATCAACTACCAAGTGAGCTATTAAAATACTGTGGTGAGCACTGCACTGGGTAATTACCAAGATTTGGGAGGATGAGATATAACCAGAGGAGTGGATGGAAGGTGTCGTATGCCCAATCTACAAACAGGGCGACAAGTTGGATTGCTGCAACTACCGCGCAATCACACTGCTGAGCGCCGCCTACAAGGTACTCTCCCAAATTCTATGCCACCGCCTGTCACTATTTGCAAGAGAGTTCGTGGGGCAATACCAGGCAGGAGTCATGAGTTATGGCAGATTATACACGAGTACGGATTTCCTTATATAGCCACCCACGATTTGTACAATCGCATATGCTATGCTATGCTATGCTATTATACACGAGTACGGATTTCCGGATAAAAGTGACGATGGATCGAGTGATGTTCGTTGTTGAAGTATCGCGAACACTCTCAAGTCCCTTTGAATCTCGAAGGGGGTTACGGCAAGGTGATGGACTTTCGTGTCTGCTGTTCAACATCGCGTTAGAAGGTGTGATCAGAAGAGCTGGGATAGACACGAGTGGCACGATATTCAGGAAGTCCATCCAAATTAACGGTGACGAAATCGAGGTGTCCAATGGGTTTCTGTATTTGGGCTCACTGGTGACCGCCGAAAATGATACCAGCAGAGAAATTCAACGACGCATTATGGCAGGGAATCGTGCCTACTTTGGACTCCGGGGGACGTTCCAGTCGAACGAAACGCTGATTTGACCGGTGGTTCTCTACGGCCACGAGACCTGGACTATGCTCGTGAAAGACCAACGCGCCCTTAGTGTTTTCGAACGAAAGGTCTTGCGTACCATCTACGGTGGAGTGCAGATGGATGATGGAAGGTGGAGGAGGCGAATGAACCACGAATTGCACCAGCTTCTGGGAGAACCATCCATCGTCCACATTGCGAAAATTGGGCGACTACGGTATGCTGGACACGTCGTAACAATGCCGGAGGACGACTCAGTGAAAATGGTTCTAGAAAGCGACCCACAACAGGAACAAGAAGAAGAGGTGCGCAGCGGGCAAGGTGGATTGACCAAGTAGAAGGTGACCTGCGGACCCTTCGCAGACTACGAGGCTGGCGAAGTGTGGCCATGGATCGAGTAGAGTGGAGACGACTAAATTCCTAAAATTAAAATTCGTATTAATTGCCTTAAACTGTTATTCAAATTTACAAATTTACATTTACAATTTACAATACACACATTTACATTTACAATTTGCAATATGCATGAATTCAGTGCGACTCGCACAAGCTATTGCTCGTTCTGATGATGTACGCCTGTGAGTGAGTGGTAAATGCAAAATGATTTTTTCCATGCTTGGTTATGACTCCGGATAATCGAACCCCCGAATAATCGAGTTCGGCCTTCATTCGAAAAATATTAGCGTTTTTAAACTTCTTTCCCATACCTTGCTGTGGAATATTTTGAAATCTGCATCATCAAGCCATTTTTCAAAATGGCCGCGAGAGGCCTAGTTTTCATTGCCTCATTGCTTTACGGTCAAAGATAGCTACACATAGAAATCCAAACAACATCACCTAAACATCACTTAGATACCGTTTTGTACCACACAAAACCTCATCAATTTTTATCTAATAGATGTTCTTTCTGCTTTTCCCCATGTTCCACAAAAACTGCCAACTCAAAACAGCTCCTGCTCTTCTCGCAACAACTGCAACAACAGACGCCAGCCGTTTCCAGCGGGATGTTTTCTTTCGATTGGACACTCTGCTTTTCGGTAAGTACCTACAACCATTCGCCGGTCTTCTACAACTCTCATCTAGAGTAGGTCGTAGTTACACGGTGATGGGATAACATTGCATTTCGGAGGAGAAGAAAGGAAGTGATGCACATCGACACGCTTAAAACGAACACTTCTTTTTTTTTTTGGGTGGGGAAGCCAATTACCGTCATCGTTACCGAAGAACAACGATTCAACTGACTGCTTGCAAGAACCGATTCGTTCATTTATTGCTGCCAGTCCGGCGGGAAAGGTCCAGTAATGATGCTACGGAAAAGTACTTTTTTTTAATTCTCAAGATTTTGACAATTTAAAAATATTTACGCAAAATTCGTAAATGTTCCTGAACAGCAATATCGCAGTTTCCAACCGATCCACATTCAAGCCCTAAAAGAGTACATCGAATCGTACATCCCTGGGACTGCAGCACTACCTCCGCAATGGGGAAACATGTGTTCCTAAGAGGTATACTACGTCTATAATGGGTCTCCCTCTCTGGGCAATGGCAATCAAACCGATTCCGGTCCCCAACACGAAACGTGCGACGCACGTATGGCAATGGTTTTACCACCAAATGGCAGAGAGCACACTCCAATATGCAGGATCAACCCAGCGACTACCACCGTCCAAACTATTCGCCGGCACTTGCGCTCCTATGGTGCCTGGTACCCTTAGGAACGGGATATGTTGCGTGCAACGTTTGTTGGTGCAATGAAATTTTACTGTCTCCGGCGAAAATTGCAATCCAGACTATACCTATTGTTTGAACGACGGAAATGGCTCCACCGGATGTAACATCGATTCAGGGTACTTATGTTTAGTTTTACTGCACCGGCGGCGGCGACGGTGGTAAATAGGTTCTGCACTAATCGGACCAACTGACCGGAAGCCAATTGATTGTTATCCCCTCCTTGTGACGCTGCAATAAAAAGAAAGCTGTATTGACTCTGTTCGATTGGTATTTGCAGTGATCTCATTATCAAATTGATTTCGATTATTTCCAGATCCTGTCAACGGTGGCCACTTACACCATGATTATGGTACAGTTCGAGCTGGAAGTGCCAAAGTTTTTCCTCAATGCTCTGGTGAGTTCGACGATGGAAAGAGACATGGGCAATGTGACGCTTCCGATGGGGGTCGCTTCGAACAGCAATGCAAACCTCGACGTTTAACAAGTAGTAAGAAAATTATGAATAAATATTACATCCAATGGCATGACTTCCAAATGACTTTAAATGCTATAAAATGTACCATTAATAGTCTTACTCTCATTGAATACAGCTGCATCTATCTTATTACAATTCATTAAAAAAAAAGATCATGAAATGAGCCGATTCCCATCGTGGCTGCTTTTATAAACCTCACTTCATTTACATCAAACAAGCTGATGCACATCGTAAAACAGTTTGCTACAAAATTCATGCTCCGCGTGCTTAATTACCCGTCAGAGTGATGGACCGTCAGTAACCCGCGAAAAAAATTACGACTTCGTCCTGAGAGCTGTTTGTAGTTCCAGTCCCGAGCCACACTTTCTTTTTTTTTTCCTCGCAAACCGAGAATGACTCGCAAACTTTTCTGATTATAATTAATGGGGCCAGTATTGAGTGTCGCCCGTTTCCCATGTTAATTATTCATAGGTTAAAAATGGAACACTATGCTCGAGAGCAAACAGCGCTTCCTGGTTGGTAACACGCACACAGAGTTGGTCCCTTTTTCCACGGGAGTTGACTTTCTGTAATGACATAAAACGTCAACGCAGACCCAGTCCAGTACTGATGAACATGGACGAAATTTGTCGTCGTCGTCATCGCTTCATCATCGTCATCCCCAGACCGACGGCAGGGATTAATATTTCACGAAGCACTCTTTCATCATCGGCTTCGGGTTTAGAGTTCTGATCCTTGATCCCATCTGCCTTGCCCACGAAACCAAATGGACGTTTAATTAAACAAAAGAACAACGGTTTTCCTGCCCCGGTCCTACAGCACTCACCTTTTGCCTCCTGGGAAAACGCACAAGTTTGTGACATCTGATTGACATCTGTTTCTACGGTTGAAGTTTGTCCGACATCCAACGACTGGACTGAGGAAAAGTTGTCTTATCGGTTGAAGCTCGTTATGGGATTCTCCTTCCGAGAAAAATCTGATAGTCTTTTTGCTCGTGACGGAACGGAATACGCAATTACATTTTCTGCTCGAAAACTGGTATTGGTTGGGGTGCTCTTTCAGGTTCAGGTTCACGGTTGATTAGAGGAAATGCTCCGGTAGTGACCATTTCGACAAGGTCACATATGGTTTGAAGCGGCGGGAATTCAATCATCCTTCAATCAGTTTGCAATGATTGCATGGAATGTTCCGCTCGGCAGAATTGTAGCTTTTTGTGGGATGAGGAAAACACATGAACATTTCAGGATGGTTTCAAGCTTAATTTCTGGGCTGAGTTTCACTATCAATTGAATAGGCTTCTGCGTTAACGATTATACGTATTATCAAGAAAACTCGTCTTATTTGCCGTGAATTATGCTATGTTTAATTAGACGAGATATAGGTTGGTTGGTTGTCTTTATTAAGGAGATTTTCAGCCAGACGCTGGTTCATCTCCGGAGGGACGAGACAGACATTTCCGCGGATAGAAAGTATATTCGTTATGAGTAGTTATTGCCTTTTTCACGACTGCTTAGATTTCTGTGATAATCGTGCACTGCCCTGTTTCGAATTTTGCACTGTCAAAGTGACAGATATGTGACTTTTGCGTTTGACTGAGGAATTTGTTTATGTTCAAGCAATTTTTGGTAAACCTGTGTAATAAAGGGTGATACGGTCAAAATTTGGTCAATATCAACTTGACGTATTTCTTTCAATTTTGCATTTAAAAAACCTGAACACCCCTCATTTTGAAGGTGTGTGTGTGTAGAATGTTGCTCCTGTTTTGATTTTGGAATTCACTCTTCAGTTGTCAAAATGCCGTCCAAGCAAGAAGAGCAGCGTATCAAAATTTTGCTCGCGCATCGCGAAAATCCGAGCTACTCGCACGCAAAGTTGACAAAATCGCTAAAAGTTGCCAAATCAACCGTTACAAATGTAATTAAAGTGTTTGGGGAACGTTTGTCGACAGCCAGGAAGTCTGGATCGGGGGAAAATCGAAAACCGGAAGCCGCTGAGACGACAAAGAGAGTTGCCGGTAGTTTCAAGCGAAACCCTAACCTCTCTCTCCGAGATGCCGCAAATAAGCTGGGTGTATCGTCTACAACCGTGCATCGAGCCAAAAAACGAGCCGGACTATCGACTTACAAGAAGGTAGTGACTCCAAATCGCGATGATAAACAAAATACGACGGCCAAAGCGCGATCCCGGAGGTTGTACACGACGATGCTGACGAAGTTTGACTGCGTGGTAATGGACGACGAAACCTACGTCAAAGCCGACTACAAGCAGCTTCCGGGACAGGAGTTTTATACGGCAAAAGGAAGGGGAAAGGTAGCAGATGTTTTCAAGCACATGAAACTGTCAAAGTTTGCAAAGAAATATCTGGTTTGGCAAGCCATCTGTACCTGTGGCTTGAAAAGCAGCATTTTCATAGCTTCCGGGACTGTCAACCAAGAAATTTACGTGAAAGAGTGTTTGAATAAACGTCTGCTGCCTTTCCTGAAGAAACACGGTTGTTCCGTACTGTTTTGGCCGGATTTGGCATCTTGCCATTACGGTAAAAAGGCCATGGAGTGGTACGCCGCCAACAACGTGCAGGTGGTTCCCAAGGACAAGAACCCTCCCAACACGCCAGAGCTCCGCCCAATTGAGAAATACTGGGCTATTGTCAAGCGGAACCTAAAGAAGACCAAAAAACTGCTAAGGGCGAGCAGCAGTTCAAGGCAAACTGGCTTTCTGCGGCGAAGAAGGCGGACAAGGTGGCTGTACAAAATCTGATGGCAGGGGTCAAGCGTAAGGCCCGGCAATTCGGATTTGGAAAAGCGGAAGCCTAACTGAATATTTTTCCTGAATTTTATACTAATTGAACTTGAAAAAGAAATTTAATTTGATTTTTTAAATAAACGATTTCACCGATTTACACGCGTTTTACCTTGACCAAATTTTGACCGTATCACCCTTTATAAATGCGTGTGCTCTCGTAATATTTATTTGAATTTTTGTAGTGGAGTCCGGCATGGCCAATATCATAGCAGAATTGAAGAACCGGCGAGCTTCGACTAACACAGTCTATCATTTGTTGTACGGCTATTACTTTTTAGGTCTAAGCAGAACTCAACTCGCCAAAATTTAGAGATTTAAAGATTTGTAGAATCCTTCATCACGAGAGAATGACGTGGAAAGCTTTTGAACGCAGAGCTATACAGATAAAGGAGGATGATGTTCTCAGATATTATCATGAAATGTCAGCTTTCGAGTGGGACTACTACAATCTTCTCTTCCTAGATGAAGTCAGCTTTGACAATAAAGCTATGCTGTGAACGAAAGGATTTGGTGTTTGAGAGAAACGACTACTTTTCAAAGGTGAGTTCGTCAGAAAACCTCGGGAATCCCTACTGTGCTTCGCTGGACAGGAAGGTATGGCAAACTTCCACTTGCCACACAGAAGGAACGTTCACGAGATCGAATTTTTTTGACTGCTGTAAGCGATTTGCACTCACCAGTGGACACGTACAACATCATCCAGGATTACTTTCCGTGTGGATCCTACACAGAGCTCGGATCCACTGCGACCCCAACTTGGTGTACTATTTCAGGACACTGGGTATTTATCTGATTTTTCTACCTGCTTACTGTCCTCACATGAACCCGATCGAAGTGCTGTTTGGATTGTGCAAAAAGCGCCTCCAGCGAGAGTACGATCAAAACGACAAAACAAAACTGAAGTTCACATTTTTCAAACTACAATATGAACAATTTGTTCAAAAAATGTGGCTACCTCAAAGGTGGAAAATTTTATCCCACGTCAAATGACTGTTAATTAAAAGAGAACCACAAGAAGTGTAGCGCATACCAGCGAAAGCATTAATCGGATTGTACGGAAAAAGAATAGTCAAAACCTCGCTTCATGTTGTTTTACTTATGTTATTTTCGGATATTGCACAACAAATTCAAATTCTTGTGCACATTTTCTTACCATTTAACTTTAGATGTGGTCAACGGCTTCCTTAACGCTAGATGCAATGAACGCCGAAGACTCGCTCTCACGTGCATCTAAGGCTGATTCAGCAGAACTCATGAACGATTCTCCAATTTGACTTCTCAAAACCAAGTTTTCGATGTGCCTTTCCAGCACAGCAAGTTTCAAAGCTTGTTGTTGAAAAATAGGGACGACTCATCATCTTCATCAATAGAAGCATCGAGTTTTTCAGGACCATTCAATGATTTGGCATCGGTGGCAACATTTGCTTCCGTTTCCAACTCCATTGCAGTATCATCCTCTCCCGAAAGCTCGTCAGAATCTATCAATCTTTCCTCTGCATATCTGGCTTCCTCCTCAAGCTCTACAGGATCAAAATCACCGAAGAGATCTTCCATTTTTGAATATTTATCTGCAAATTAAAAATTTAAATTAAAGGTTTCAAATTCTCCTTTGGAATTTTCATGATTTATGTTTCCTTACCGTTTAACTGGAGAAAATGATGTGCCTTTGAAATAACAACAGATTTCCGTAACAGTGCTTCTAATCAATTTTTAACTGTAAACAAAAACAAACCGTATGGTGTTGGCTCTCGCTCTCGACTGAGCAGCTGACAGGTACTTCAAGGCGTTCAAAACGGCACTTTTTATAGAAATATCAGCTAACCTTAATCTTTAAGTATGTTTTTTTTTCTCTGATTTGTTTGCCGTGCTGAGCACCAAATAAGCTTCAAAATTGCATTTTTTTTATCAAATGTTAAATTCAGTCCTCTATATCCGTAATACGCGCGGGTAGCTCAAACCTTTGTAGACAACTTTTTTTTTAAATTAATCTACTATTAAATCAAATATTAAAAACCCATCATCACCATCGTGGCGAACAGAAATAGATTTTGAAGTGCTACAATAATTATTGAAAAAGTCGTTATGACAGCTATCCATATAAAATAATCCGTTAGGGATAACTTCGTCAAGATACATTAAATCTAGAAAGTCACTTCCTCTTTCAAATCGATCACACAAATATCGAAGCAGCAAACCGATAACTA